TTCATTGTCACATTTTTTTTTGCTATGAGCTACCACAAGACCTTGTATATATTTCCCTGTGCTATACAGTATAATCTTGTTTATCTATTCTACATATGCCTGTCAGTATCTACAGATTTTGAACTCCCAGTCTATTCCTTTACTCAACTTTTGGCCTCCCCTGGAGAACCTATCCTTGTCTTAGATCTTTTTCTGTTATTTTTTATGTTTGTTCATTGGATCACTCTTAATTCTCTGTGATTTTTCTCCGCTCTTTGCTTGAATCATGCCCTCCCAGCCCAGCCACCACTAGTCCTCTCTTCCTTTGCCATCTCCTAATTTCCTCCTCCAATGTTGTAAAACCATTTTGTTGGTATATTTAAGCTGTGTACTTCTAGTACGTGTTTCCTGTGTGTTATTTCCTGTGTATTTCAATGACACTTGAATACTGTACTTTTTATTTCAGAGTATGTGACCAGAATTGACAAAGAATTGATTCAAAAGCAGGAGCTTGCTGTAGCTATGAAATCCCAAGAAAAGTTATCTCACCAAATCAATGAAGAGGTTCCTGAATGTGGAGAAATCCAAGAATATGAAAGATAGACAGAAAGATATCACAGAAACACTTCAACTAAGAGAAGCTATAAGTGTGATGAATGTGAAAAAAAATTCATTCAAAACTCAAGCCTCATTAGTCATAAAAGAATCCACACTGGAGAGACATCCTATTCATGTCATGTATGTGGCAAAACTTTCAGAGTTCACAAATTATAGACCATCAGTGAATACACAGTCAATTAAAACCTTATCAAGGTGATGAGTGTGGGAAAGCCTTTTACTACAGTTCACACCTTGTTCAGCATCCAAGGACCCACACAGGAGAAAAATCTTTCCAGTATAATGAGCTTGGGAAAGCTTTTCATTACAGCTCAGGCCTTATGTGACACCAGAGGACCCACACAGGAGAGAAACCATACCAGTGTAACAACTGCAGGAAAGCTTTCTGTCTGAGCTCCCATCTGATGCAACATCAGCGAGTCCATTACTGGAGGGAAGCCATACCAGTGTAGTGAGTGTGGGAAACGCTTCAGCCAGAGCTCAGGCCTCTTCCATCACCAGAGAATCCACAGTGGGGAGAAACCATATGAATGTGATGAGTATGGAAAGGCTTTCAGTCACAGTTCAGCTCTTGTTGGACTCCAGCAAATCCACAGTGGAGAGAGGCCCTATGAGTGTGATGTGGTGATGTGTGTGGGAAAGCTTTCAGTTATCACTCACATCTTCTGCAACACCAAAGAATCCACAATGGAGAGAAGCCCTGTGAATGTGATGTGTGTGGAAAAGCTTTCCAGTGGAGCTAACACCTCATTGTACATCAGCGAACCCACACTGGAGAGGAGTCCAGGTGATGTCAAGAGTGGTGTAGAAGTTTTCATCTATGCTCATTCCTGTGAGACATTAGACAGAAAAGCACAGCTAGAAAAGGATGTCCCAGACCATGTACCATGTACCTTACATATCTCATGGAAATTTCCCTTCTCTTCTACAAGATAGGTATTCTTTATTACATCTCAAACAATGTCTGCATCGAATTCACTCTTATGAAAAGTTTATAATAAAATGAAAAGTTTTTATTACATTAAAATGTTAAATAGCCTATTAAAGTGTTTTTTGAATGTAATCCCACAACTATATCAAACAGATTAAAAATATTAAAAATTGGAAGTAAATGACATTAAAATATCAACAGTGACTGTATTTAGGTGATGAAAATGGGTGATCCTCCCCTTTTCTTTCTGCCTCTCTCATATTCCTACATGTGTGATAAATACTTTTAAAAAATTAAAATGCTGCAGAATTATCTGAGCCTTTCTGGTGATGATTCTTTAATAGTTTCTTTCAATTATTTCCTTTAGGATTGGTTTATTTAAACTTTTTTAATTGAATGAATTTTGGAACTAATGGGTTTTTCCCCAGAAATTCATCAATTTCATTAAGATTTTTAAAATTTTGGTAGCATACTTACCTCTTCATCTGCTGTTATTTGTCATTGATAATTTAATTTTCTTCTCTCAGTTGAATTTACCATAGATTTATTGTTTTCATGGGCTTATTTACAAATATTTCATTCTTGGATTTATTTATTAACATCAGAATCTTTCTATTTTCTTATTCATTTACTGTTTCTTTTATCTTTATTTCTTTTCTAACCTTTCCCTTGAGGGTTTCTTTCTCATTCCTTTTCTAATTTCTTTGGTTGAATTCTTAGTCATTTATTTTCTCTCTTTTTTAATAATGAAAAAAAGTGAGTATATACATCTACCAAGTACTGATTTTTTTTAAATTGCCCACTTGTGTTTTTTCTGAGTCTTTATTTTTGTTTGGAAGATATAACTGGTGGTGGGGGGTGGTTCTGCTCATTATACATAGACTGTCTGCTTTTGTCTTAGTAAAGAAGTCAGAGAGGCCTTATCCAAGTAGAGGAAAGACATACCTAAGTTAAGGGCAGAGCCAGGATTTTACAGGATCTGTGACAGTGGTTGGAAGCCTCATTATGTCTGGTGTTCAACCATTTGAGTTACCACAGCAAGGGGCTGGCAAGTTGATTCTTTAAAGTTGACAAGCAACTGAAGCCGGGGGTACCTGAAGAATATTCTGGGCCACTCAGGGAGTTCACAGCTGGTAGTGGGGTTTGTGTTTGAAAATCTGATAAGAGAATTTGATACAAGAAAGCACTAAATAAGGAGGGAGAAACATGCGAATAGTGTGTTGTGTACTAAAGGGGAAACAGGAAATAGTTAAGCATTTTCTGAATTTTTAATTTGCTCATTTGGCTAAGAGGGACATATTATGCCACAATCAAGAGAAGGGGCTTTGTCTTTCAATCATGTACTTCTCTTTTTTTTAATTAATTAATTCATTTTTTTCATGGAGATACTGAGGACTGAACCCACATGTGCTCTACCTCTGAGTTACATACCCCTATCCCTACCCCCATCATGTACTTCTAATGAAAGACGGGCAGGAGTTATCCTTTTTCTAAATTTTTCTCCCCAGAGAGGAGGGTTTTCTAAAGCTTACTTGAAAGTTCATTATTTCTACGCTTTCTAAACGTTCCACATAGGTTGACTTGATCACTTACATTTGCGCCTCAGAAGCACAAGGAAGTTGAATTGATTTTCGTCTTAAAGGTGTTATACCCTTTTACAGGATAACCTGTCAGGCAAAGAATATCAGAGAGAGAAAGGAAATATTGATGACATTCTCCAAAGAGGAAAATTGTTTGTAGGTTGTAAAGAATAAATAGGATTTGAAAACAATTTACCTTTTTTTGTTTACACCAGTAGTATGTTTTTGTAAAAAATTTAAACTTTACAGAAATATATAAAGTGTAAAATGCAAGTTCTCTGTAAGTTTGCTCTAAGTGATAATCATCAAGAACACATTTAAGATAATTATTTTACAAAAATGATCATATCATACTGTTTTGTAACTTACTTTTTTTCCCAACTCCTTGAAACTGGATGTGGCTTTGTGACTTCCTATAACTAATCTTTTTTACTCAATATGCCTTTGGCATCTTTTAGTTTTTAGCTTTAAAAATGATTGGGTAGAGGTAGATACTGCTCAGCGGTAAAGAGCGTGTTTAGTATGCACGAGGTCCTGGGTTCAATCCCCAGTACCTCCACTTTAAAAAAGTAAATAAGCAAACAAAAAAGTAAATAAAGAAAAACAATAACACACTACAATAAACAACATAATAAATAAGTTGCATAAGTGGTGGGATGGTGAATTTATTTTAAAAAATTGGACACATAGAAATTTAAATTCCCAAATGTTGGATATTTGGGTTTTCCAATTTAAATTTTAAAAAAGTTTCTTTGTACACATTATTTTATATATATAACTCAAAAAAGCTAAGTTGCTGGATCAAGGGGTGTAGACATATTAACTTTAATAGGTCTTGCCTTCCAAAAATGTACAACTAACAGTGCCTGTGTTTCCAGTATTGAATATTATCAATCTTTCTGTCTTTAGTAATCTGAAGGATTTTTAAAAGCTCATTATTCTTTTAAATTCTTTAAGTAGTGAACTTGAATGCTCTTTAATAATCATTATTGTCTATCAATATTTGTGTTCTGTAAATGCCAACTTAAGTCCTTTGCCAATTTTTCTATTGGCTTTGTTGACTGAAATTGTGAATGAAAAATACTGCAAACCATATCAGTAAACAAAGAATGATGAAATCAAGTCATCAGTGGCTGCCAACACCCCCAGTGAAGACAAGCCTGCAGCCCGGCCTCTGCAGCCACTTACAATGGTGCTCTCTGAGAGGACTCAGTAAGAAAAGACAGAATTTTGGCCCTAGATAGCTAGGTGCTTGTCAAAGGAATGAATTCAATGAACCCAAATGTTTGCTTCCTCCCATACAGAGAAAAGCGCTAAATTCTTTAACTTGAGATGTCTAGTTTTCTTTAGTTAAGTAACATTTTAATGTTACAACTACCTAGTCTTTGTTGTAAAGCTCCTATATATATCCTAGCTCCTCCCCTGCCTCTTCAGAGCAGTCTCTCTGAGAGATCTGAGAGGCTGTCATCTTAGGCTCAAAGGGGTTCGAGTCCTCAGAAATGTCCACCAAATAAAACATAACTTTTAGGCTGCTCATTTATTTCAGGCAACAGATATATAGGATTATTTCAGGCAACAGATATATAGGGGTGTGTGTGTGTGTGTGTGTGTGTGTGTGTGTGTTTTGGGGAGAGGGTGGAATCTATAAATACATAATACATCGACGGAAAGATACAGCCATATGTGACAAAAAATGTTGGTTGTCAAAACTAGATGCAGGGGGATATCTATTCTTTCTAAATACTGAACCATGTAACTGCATTACATATTCATATTACTTATTTAACAATTAAATCAAAAAAATCTTGAGAGGGAAAAAGGTTTTCGGGGTTCTTATTTTTGGTTTTGTTTTGTTTTTTGTTTTTTAAGAGCAAAGAAATCCGTCTTGCGGGCGCCGTAGCCGCATCAGGCAAACATACAAGAACCGGGTCCTCCACCGGCTAGAGGGGCGGAGGGAAGCCCGGCCGCGGCCACCGAGGCAAGGCTTCCTAGAGCGGACCGGAAGTGCCCTGCCGACAGCGGCCGGGCGCCGATTGGTCGGTTTGAGTCTAGCCTTTGTTCGGCGGTCCAAAGGACGCCAGTTGTCGCACCTGTTCCTCTCCGTGCCAGGTGAGTCTCTCCCCGCTCCTGGGTGGAGGATGGGGCTGGGCATAGTCGTGATCAGCAGCATCCCCCTTCCCTCACCTCTCGCTGGCCATCCCCTCCCTCCTCACAGACCTGCGAGAGAGGACTTGGGCCGACCTTTTTGAAGAACGGAAAGGGGAACACTGGTTGCGAGTGGTTCTGTGAGGGCATCCACTTAACCCTCTTCCTGAGTTGGAGCACGTACCTCACAACTGCAGAATCCTAGGGACCCGTACATCTCAGGTTGTGAAATGAAAGGGCTTTTTAACAAAGCTATTAATACTTCGCGTTTATTACTTGCTGCCTGGCCAAGGACTTTGCATACATTCCTATTTAATCTACACATCATCCCTATGAGAAACATGGGAATTTTTATAGAAACT